ATTATAAACCTACAATAGGTATCCTTGGATAGTTAAAACTAAACCATTTTTCAATGAAAGTACATATTTTTTTTATATACAATGTATTTGCATAATATAATATCATAATACCTAGGTAAGATATACAAAATTCTTTATGCCAGCCTTATGTGAGTTATTATAATTTTATAACGTCTTGTGTTCTCAAGTAAGCATTGTAATTCAAACACGCAATAGGTATTTCGAATCGTTACGGTCTGGTTGGACTCCTCTGGATAAAGAAGCCCAGCATTGGTAGTGGAACAAGAGCATACATGATATATGAACACACATATGATATATGGTCGCCATTATTACATCATAATTATTATACTTAAAGTATAATTTCAATCGTTCCCATACGTTCTATTTTTTATATGTATCGTTAATTTGCAATTATTAAAAATCCATTATTATAAAAATAATTATGTCTTAAAATTAATTTTGTACGATTGATTCGTTTGATAACTTTTTATAGAGTTGTGTAATTTTATTTACCAACGTTGGTACACTTTATTTTTGTTAATATTCTCTTCAGGGACACTACAGCCAATAAAAATTCACATGTTGGATTTATAAAATATGCAGTTTCCAGAAATTGTTATTTCTCACTGAAATGTTTTTTTTATCAAAATAAATAATATTTAAGAGTCAAGAACTTACACAATATCAGCCACTGCAGTAATAGTGTGTCTGGGAAATATTTTTTTTGTCTTTGACCCGTAATTAACGGAACGGCAGTCTATCTATAGTCAAATAGAATATTTTATAATAATTAATAAGAATACATTTTTTTTTTAACAGACAAAAGGAGGTATAACAACTAAAATCTAATGAACAATATATAATTTTAAAAAACGTGTGGATATCTAGTGGTTCAACTAAATAAGAGCTGTGGGCTGTGGTGTGTTCACCATTCATTCGTATAACGTTATTCGCATAACTTAAGTCTTAATATATTTTCCGTATAACCTAATGGATTTCTTTAAATTCGTTAAACTTTCTCAAGATTTACATAGAAAAAGATATACATTATTCACTTCGACATAACTTTCCAGACGACATCGCAGTATATTTAGCAAATCAACATTATTTCCAATCACACTGTCGACTGGAGTTGATCGCATTGCGAATAACAAATGCCCAGCGTGCAACTTATGACTTAAAATCAACTTCAGCTCCGATGAAAATTAATCTTTCTTCCACCGTTTTGACATGATTTCCATGTGCATGAAATGATTGGATATTCGTTCCACACAAAATAGTCTACAAATACATATTTCTCTAAGCACTACTTTATTTTAAATTGATAAAAAAAACTACTTTCGTTAACCTTGTGAAAGTTATTGTGCTCAACTGAGTAATTAATATTGTTTTGATTTTTCATAAAAAAAATGTGGCATTAAAGTTTTTATGATTAAGTTAATATTTATTAACTTAATAATAAGAATTCAAATTAATAATAAATAGTAAAACTTCATATTATTAACATATTAAGTTTGCCGGAACTTGATGGGTTTACCTTATAACAAGAGAAAACAATTTCCTTGCTAATTATAATTAGGCTTATAAATATTTAACTGAAAATATTCTATTAAAATAATTATTTAAAAAAAGACAATGTACTGTCGAATCCATATTATACATTGTTGTTGTCTTACAGAAAATAACAATTGCACGTAACACACACTGTAGTAAGTATATCATACTATAATACATTTTAATTGCGCATATACCATTTAAATCAGAGTGACTAAAAATACTTATTTAACTTATCCCCTTACAAGCTTGATTTATACTCGCCATACGATTTATATAAGTTTTGTTAACAGCTGTAAAAGGTTAATTCTCATTGTTCACTCCGTTTCATGATGTACTTTATTAAAAATAGTGATAGCATAAAAAAATCCTGAAATGTCGACTTGGACTGTTAAGTGTCAGCGAATGGGGAGTGGACAACTTTTTCGAAACTTTGGGCAATTACATTTGGCATTTAACCGTGCATTGTATAGTCATCCCATAGAAAAATGTGTAACCCTATACACTGCGGCCGAGCCCACACAATCGCGCCGGCGGATAGGAAATTATTCGGCCCTAACCGTAGTTCCGGTCTGTTAATTGAGAACAGGGTAGGGCGTCCTCGTCCCCACTGTCACAGGACATGAATCGAAATGCGTTATTTGGGTTTAATCACAACGACCGCGCACCGCTTATAGGAAGTTGAAAATAAATTACTAAGGGCAGAGCGATACTTGTCCACAATGTTTGTAAAAGACGCGAAGCAGCAGATGTATGAGCCGTTTTGATTGGTACCTAACGCAGTTGCTTAGATACACCACCTTTAACAAGTAAAAACATTAAAATTTTATACAAAAATCGACCGCCTGGAATAGGCAAAATAATGTACTTTATAATAGTGGTAGGAAGCATTAGTAATGCGCTGTGTGTGTGAGGGTAAGTGTGGTACGGGATAAGGTTACACGGAGAAACGAATGGAAAAGGGCAAGTTTCGACTTAATACATTCAACGAAAACCCTTAAGGTCAAAACATCCTTTTTTTTTTTTTGTAAATCAACGAAGAAGAAAATATCTCTCACAAATATGTTGTACACCCTTATGAAGTGGTTTTATTCGATACTAACAATCACTGGATACCTAAAATTAAAAACTTAAATTCGATACATTTTAGTAAATTATGTAGTACACGGTTCATAACAATAATGATATTGATTATGGCGTTTAACTAGATTATAAAGAGGGTTTGATGATTGTAATTATTCTCTATTGTAATTTCGTTTATGATTAAATGAAAAATAAAACATCAACTGCTATTTACGGCCGGTCGCAATATCCCAAGCAATTCGATTCGCTTTTATTTTGAATTTTTAATATAAAGATAATAATTTCGCTATGAGGTTTATAAATTTCAGGACGGCTGTTATATTACCACACTTATTTGTATTATAATTTATTAAATGTGTATTCCACTAGATAGACCGCATTGCCCTACTACAGTGTTAACTATCTCAACACAACGATACAAATGCTAATGACCTGATAACGGTGTAGATAAGTTGTATTTTCTTGTTCAATTGTGTTGATCGAACAATAGCCGTGGCTATGGAGATAATTTTTGTTCACATTTTATTTCAGCTCGCAGTTTTTTTAACTTCACAACAGACAACACATTTTTAAAACAAATTTCAAAGCTCTTTTTTTACGATAAGAAATCGACTACACAACTTCGGTACAAAAACAAACTAATAAACACTCGAACTTAATTATAATTTTAATGTACAAATCGAATGTCATTACAGATACATACATTTCTTATAATCAATAAACCATGTAAATAAAAGTATACTTTACATTACAGAATAACGTTGTACGAAAGTGTAATACATTATAATCCTTCAGCTAAAGAATAAACCCTTAGGTTATTTTATCTTCTCCTCAAACTTTAGTATTGAAATATTATTGCGGGACTTGTAACCGATTACAGTTTCGATTAAAACTTTTACAAAATCAATATCCATGCTAAAACTGAAACGAAAAAAAAAGTATAACAGTATTGTAAACAAAACGTAAATTTAAAACAACAATGAAAATCGAAACCAAAATTATGTACTGATTACTTATATAAGCTCAAAACGTGACAAAAAAAAAATGGTAGGCAGTATGCTGATATTATAACATAGCCTCAAGTTATTAACGTTAATAAGTGGGAATTATTAATCTCAAGAGACTAAAAAGAAAAACCTAACTGTTATCGCTTAATATGAGTTTTAGGTATTAGCGTATGGACACTGGGTATAGTTTTACTTATAACATACAAGAACTCAAATTAAACAAAATAAACTTGATCCAGCCAATATAAATCATATTAGAGCTGTAACTTTAGTATCGTAAACTTGCATTAATATAATGCACATAGGTACGCAGAACCCGTTTTGATTGGTCTATGGTGGTTTTAGAACAGAAGAATTAATTATCAAAGCATTAGAATATAATATTTCTGAAGGCTGTACCAGATTTTCTAAAATTTAATGATTCAAAAACTACTTTTTGTGTATACTTAAATAGCTATGACTTTGTTATATACTAAATCTGCCAATGTACAGCCTTGAAAAATATTTCATTTTTCAGGTTTAATACCTAATAATAGTATTATTGTAAGTTTACACGATTTGGTTATTATTATTTTATTACACGTAGAGTGTATTTTATTTCCGTATTTGTCTAAAGTTTGAATAATTCTATTTTGTAGGTTGATTTTTGTTTTTTTAGTAATTTCCTGTCGTATGACCAGTTTTATTTGATGTCGGTAATAATCCAGCCGAAACGAGTCGCGCACTGATCTGAAACCGATGGGAGATAAACCGGATAATTTTGCACCCCGTATGTGTACACAGGTCATGTTCAACTATATATATATATAAATGTTTTACTGTGTGTTACACAATAGTTGATATGTGTACCCGTACTCTAGAAAAAAAAATTAAACAATATGTATAATTCCTGGTACCGATGCGTACCTAGTCGTTACCATCATACACATTCAGAGCAGGATTCACACCTGAGCGATCGTCAGACCCCCGGTCACTGCCTATATTATACGATGCATATATCTGTACAATATACATAGTTTTATCGGTTTAACATATCTGCCATGTGAGCCACATCCTGTCGAACCCGATTTCCGTACCCCCCTTTATATTGTTGTGTTGTTCCACCATTGTCGACTATCTACTTTTTTTTTATAATTATTATTAAAATATTTACCGGATCACCGGAAAATATGTTGTATAGTTTTATTATGATGGTGTAATTTTTTTCTATCATAGAAATCGCCTATATCGATTAACAGCTGTACGTCTTAACTACAATCGACCGGAATTGGTCACAACAAACCGGGTTGCTATGAAAAGTTATGAACGCTGACGGCGCAAAGGTGGGATTGTGGAACAGCTGACTTTGCGGCAGGTAGTATGCGGAAAATCGTTATGCTGTCAAAGGCTTTCGGCATTTTTTTATCGTACACATGGCAAGAAGAACTGTCGAAAACATCAACGGATTCGTTATGGTAAGATTTACCGAAAGTGCCAATTTATCTTCCATTATTTCCTAACATATTGTAAAGCTAACCGTTTCGTTTTGCTAAGGCCCGGCCAGCTGTATCGAAAAAGCTTCCCTCGAGAACGTCGAATCCTGTAGCAGCCGTTGGAGGAACAAAAAAAACTATAAAAATCGTGCCGACAACTGTTAGAACCGCAAACGCCGGAGCAGTGCTACCAATAAAAAAAAGTCAGTTTTGCCAAAATTAAATATCGACTTAAGGCGGTCGAGAACACTGTAATAAGATAATAGTTTACCACACTGTGCCGTCTTCGGATAAAAAAGTTGCAAAGTGTAAATGTAAATGAGCTTGTGACCAAACCCGACAAAACTTTCTACTTTTAATTTATTTTATTTAGCACCGAAAGCTAAAAAAATAGACTAATAGTTTTTTATTGATTAATTCGGAAAATATACAACTCCTATCTGGAACATGAAAGTAAATAACACAAAATATTTATTTCTATTTCCCACGTGTGTGATATTCAATGTTACGTACGACTTACGCGAACGTGTACGCTGTACCTATAAATAATACTCTGATATTAAAAAGTCATTCCACGAAGTGACATCATTTTATGATTTATTTAAATTTATTTTTGCAATTCGTGGTCTGTTTTGTATTTATTATTTCCATATTATTATTGAACGTGAGGTGGAATATAAAACTTTATACTTTAATAAAGACTGCAATATTAGGTACCTATTATAAGAACAATATCCACCACACGTTCACAATTTTCTTTCGAAATAATTACATACAGTTCATAGGTTTAAATAAATAACGTTAAGTGTAGTTTTTTTTACATCTTAAAATATATACTTCTTTTTAAAACGTTACGGTCAGAATTTATAAGGAATATTATTACCTAGGAGCAGCGATGCCCAAAAATGTGCTCTTTAAGTTATTTCCAAAAAATATTACCACAATACACAAACACGTTGCCACATTCATAAATTACAAATTTTTCTCTAATTTTAGCGATGATTTATAACGAGCTAATGATTTATGGAAATTGGAAAGTATTAATTAAGTTACAAGTTAATTTGAAACGCCGGTTGTAGTAATGTTAATTTGATGATACTAAGCTGCTAAATAGGTAATATTAAAAGCTTGAATGATTTAAGTGAGTTAGTTCTTAGGAGCAATATAAATGGAATGAGATTAGCAAGTGTAAAGCTGTGAATAAATTATATTCACTTGAATGATTTCCTAAAATTCAGTTTTAATAAAATAAATTACTTAACAAGTGTATAAACTATTAATAAATTTCTCTTATAATATATAAATGAAGAACAAAGCTCATAAGCCTAGAGGTTTTGTTAAATAAAAGTTTTAATTATTTTTTACTCCTAAATTGGTTGCTTGTTCGATTGAAATTAGAATATTATGTTTCTACTAGGAAAAATAGTTGAGTTGTCTTTTACTTTTAATGGAATCCAAAAAAATTGTATTGAACAATAAAATGGCATAACGTTTTGTTTAAATTTTAAATACGTTTATTGATTAAATTCGGTTATAATATACCTATATCATTTTTGTAAATCTTATTGTACCGTAGATGATCCCAGTGTTCGTTCACGATATACTAAAGATTATCACCAAAAGACGAAAACTGAAGAGGAAAAAGTTATACCGCCGTATAACGTTTTAACTGTCGACAACGTTTCTATAGATGGCTCATTAGAAATTAATGAAGACCAAGATTATGAAGATGATTTTGAGGTAGAGTATTTCGATAAAAATATTTCAAAGACAGTTTTTTTTCAGACTAAATTTCGTGTTCTAGGATTATGAATCTGACTTTGAGTCTGACACATCGGTGGCATCGTTATTATCGCAACATGTGAATCGACAAGACTCGAAGGAGGAAGTTGAGAAGTTTGCATTACCTGTGTGTGTAGAAGAACAGCTGGAACCGTTCTTAGATGAAACATTTGAAGTTAATGTGTTAGAACGTACTATTGAAAGAGGCTTAAGTAATTTCAAGTCCGCTGGAAAGAGACAACGTGAACAAGAAGTATTAACCAAGAAGTCATTACTCATTATTGACTGTTATATACATATATGTACCTTGGGTCAAAAATATTAGCTAGACCACTACTAATCATGTACTTATTTAAAATGACATTTATATTATGTAAAAAAAAGCTACATATACTTATGGAAAATAATAAATTTTAAGTTCATATTTTGCCAAAAGTTTCAAAAATTGAGATTGTCGTTTAAAAAAGCAAGGTGCACGTATATAAATAGTTCAATATTAAAATGTGTTATGATTTCATACATTGTTTTAATATTTAACTATATATTTTTTTTAATATCATCTCAAGTATTACATATTATGTGTATCATTAGGCGAAAAGTAAAATTAAAACCAGAGGAAATATACTTATGGAAATGATCAAACTGGATACAGTGAGTTTTTCGTTATTCGATATGCCGGCAATACCTTATGAACAATACATACAAATTTATGGACAGTCGAACATGTCACAGGTAAAAATTCATAATAAAATATGCCTCTAATTTGGTAATTATCTCAGAAAAGAGTTAATTTGAACACTTGGATAATGAAAACGAATTAATTGGAATAATCAAACCTAACGGATAAAGATAGAAATGATACGGAAGAAAACTTTTATAAATACCTAATTATATTGTATATTTTTTTGAATTACCTTTCAGGTATATACACAGACAAACGATGACTATGCCGATAAAGAGATTCAAACAACAGAAATTGATTTATCCGAAAAATGGACTCAGAGACCAATTTTTTTACCAAACACTTTGGACTGTTCATCGTTTGAATATCTACAAGTAAATGTTTGAACAAATTTCCAATAAACATTTAGGAAGTCATAAGCATTTCGCTTTAATGTTACTCGTATTTAAGCATTATACAAAATCCTATTTTAGGATATAGATAATTAAAAAAGATATCATTGTTTGGAATAATGTTTTAAAAATAAACATACTACTGTATTACTAATATTTTTTCTCATTTCACTCCAAACTCTAGATCGACGCTTAAGTATATATATTTAAATTATACAATAATAAAAATAATTAATTGTATTTAAAAATATTTTCATTGTTGATGACGGTGCATTTAGACTTAAATTCATATTTTAAATTAGATAACATTCTCAAATAAATAAAAAATATTCATTCTTAATGTTATTCGTGCAATGTGTTTTCAAAATACACCATACCAAATTAATTGCTAGGCAAAAACTTGAAAAAACTGTAAAATAGTAAAATTTTGTATTGTTATGAGTTATTATTCAACAACATTTTCTGACTTCCTGTTGTCAAATAAAACTGATGGGAATTTCTGTTGCCGTCCTTGGAAATATATAATAGGTAAGTTACCTATTATATATTTCACATGACGTGACCTACTACAATTGTATGGAATTTTACAAAAATAAATATTACTTTTAAAGAACAATCCTAAAACTGTTAAATATACTGTTAATTTCGTTAATCGTTTTAATCGTTACCGTTTTTATCTTAATCGCTTTAATTGTGTATGGAAGTTATTCACACTCGACTCGTTAGTGTTATTTCATCTATCATCATCAACCGTGACTAATTTATTAAACCCGTTCCTGTACTTATTGTAATTATTACACCGTCTAGAAACTGTACGGGATTTGTATTGATGAGTTTAGGCCAAGCTCGGAGTCGGCGCTAACAGTGACATATCGAATAACAAACGAGTATCTCGTGTCAATGCAGTGGACGCGGATCGAATTTGCACTGTTGGCCGTGTTGTGCTGCGCTGGCTCGAACGGCAAGCAATGGATAACATCCAGCATAAGCTGCTGCCCAACCAACTAGCCTTCAGCAACGGTCATCTGAGACCTTCGATATCCGCCGTCCGGTTGTTAGCCGATCAGCCTGTAACGTCGGTCGAGTTTATGAATGTAACGCCGTCCGATTCGGCTCAGTCGTTGGTCACCGTGCACGAGGTACCTACAACTCGAATTCAATTATTGCAAACTAAAGTCAACCCCTTAATCGAATAGCGTGGTGTTTAATGGCCAAAATGTATATTATAGTTGTCTGTCTTGACCCCGTTTTCTGAAATTGAATCAATTAAAATGTCGAAATTAATGCCCTGGCAACAAATCGGTAGGCGTGGGAACCGAATCTGGAATACTGCCAAATTAAGTTCATAATGAATAACGTCTTTCAACTATCGACGACGATTGGATTGACTAAAATTCTCCATAGGGATAATAATTACTTTTGTCGACGCCTCAACGTTTAACTCGGTGAACAATTATTATTATTGTATAAGTCGATCAGTTCAAAAGTTGCGGTATATTTTCTACATTGCTAATAAAATATTAATCCTATATTCAAGTATATAAATCTCGGAATTCAAGTATTACTTTTAAGTTAAAACTCAAGTATGAAGTGCGATTCAGCGTTGTAAAGCAATTCAATAATTGTTTGTTATTGAATATTTATTTTTAAATATTATAAAAATATTAATTAACTGAATTCATCCATTTTTTTAAAAAACCGTGTGTAAATATGTAATTAAGATATTAACCAAGTAATGCCAGTATTCACTGATTAATCTTAATCGAACTCTTTTGGTACAATTATTTTCAGTTTTTTGTATATATTCACCATCAATAACCATTTTTATCAGATAGACAACTATAGTTATTATTATTACATTAGTGGAGTCGTCAAATGTCGTGTATATGCACCATCTAATTTTTGTCTGAAAAAAAATTGATTTTAATTTTACATAAATAACATTATAGCCAGTAACCAAGAATATACATAAAAACCACCTAAAAACAGTTAGTCACGCCTTTTTACTAAAAAAATAATTGTAATATTTGTATAGATAACCTTTGTATTCTTAGTTTATCGATTACATTATTGTGTAATGAGAAATTAAAAAATATATTATATACACATGTTATATTTTCTAGCTAAAAATAAATTCAACATTTTTGACCTAACTAGCCTACTGCGGTATGCTTTATTTGTTTTTTATTTTACCAAGTGTCGTGTAAAAAGTGTAATAATATGTTTAATTACATTATTTTATTTTTATTAAAGAGTTGAACAAAAATGCATTGGTAATCAAATACTTTTTACAATTATTTAATATATTTAAAAAGCTATTTTTTATCGCACTGATTTTGTATGGTTAGATTTTTTCATTGTTAATGAAAACATTGTAATTCTTGAACATATATTTTAAGTAATAGTGACTAAATCAATGTAAACCAATTTTATGCAAATCTGTCGTCTTATTTGGTTTTTCCACTTGTCTTAGGTATCCGATAAGACCAATTGGTATGCCACAGTGTGCATATGGAATGCTTCAGATATGGATAAAATGCCGGAATACATTCTTAAGTGCCCGAACCGCGTGACTTGTTTATGTACTCTCCCTAAGAACTCGGGAGAAGGGTTTGTTGTGGCCGCTCACGTTGATGGGTAAGGTTACGTAGATTCCAAAAATAGTTTACTTTAATTTCTTATTTAAGTGTAATTAAATTAATTGTAATTATGGATCATAGTAGAATTCTGTACCTTGGCATATACCAGTTAGTCCACTAAACATAAATATTAAAACATCCGATATTTATTAACTGTGAAAAATGTGGCCCTCTCAAGGTACAGAATTGTATGACCGGAATAGCGCCTAAATTATAATTTGAACTATATATAGATCAAATAAATATATTATTTGATACATAAGTAGATTGCAGGACAAATGTGTTCCACCTACTCCAAGTTTTCTAAAACATACTATTTTTTGGTCATATAGTTATACTATTTATATTATGCTCCTACTTTATAAAATATGTAAATATTATGATTTATTTTCTTTGTTATGCATGTGGAGCGAAGGGTATAACGTGTCAAAGAACCGCAATAACCATTATCTTGACAAAAAAACATTTTAGGGCATAGACATACAATATAGCACATTTTCTATACAAATTCAAGTTGAGGATAATATTAGTATTATATCCTCAACTTGAGTTTGTTTACCTTTACGTTTGTATTTTACTACTTATACAAATAAACTAAGCTGTAGATACATAATAAGTACCTAAGTTATTATTTGACATCATTCTCAGATATTTTTGAGTTATCGAAAACAATGGTTTTATATCTGCTTGAAGGTGAAAAAAACATAACGTTAATACTAAAACGGGAATAATAATAATAAAAGTATACCTAAACCAGCGAATTAGTTACAAATATTTTCTATAATTGCCATACAAATATTTTGTATCAGTAATTAAAAAAAAAAACTAAAATATTGAAGAACGTACAAAAAATTTCAACAGTATAATATCATAATGGCAACAGATGACGCCATCTATACGTTCAACATTGAGTCATTGATTTTATCTCACAATCGTTATAACACGAATAGTAATATTAATTTTCTATGTAAAAAAAAACAGTTCTTGATTAATTTTTTCTTCTTATGAAATAAATCGAAACATCTTTCTGCTTTGATTTATATAAAACATTATATTCCTCAAATGGTAAATTAATAACATACAAAAATATGTTAGTTAAATTTGTTTATTAGTTTAAATAGTTCTATGTAAATAAATAAAAAACAAATATTGACTGTCGTACTTATCTAAGTTTGTAGTTTGATAGAATTTAAATTAAATTTTAGAAGCATATGTGTGTGGGACTTGAGGGAAAGTAGATTTCATCATGAGCAACTCGAAGACATCCAATGTCCACTTCGTTCGCCGTCCTACAATACCGGTACTCGCACATAATTCCTTAAATCTACATATTATTTTTTAGTTATCATTTTTTATAAAAAAAAAAAAAAATGCTTTAATTGTTTGATATAATATATATATATATATATTTAGCACTAATTTTCGACAACAGCCATAAATCAAAAGTGGTCGGTTTGCGACCCGTTACGTACAGCAACGTCAAATATATAGAAAAGGAATTTCCAAACGAAGTAAATTGTTCAGTTCGAATATTATAATTAACAACTCAATGTAGACTGGAAAATATCAGTAAATAAATCATTGGTTTTTTTTTTTTTAAGTTATGCAGTTTGGACGAAGACTTCGTGCTGATCGTGTGGACAGTTATGGATAGCTGGACAGGCACCGCTGAAAGTGTTGGCCAACAAAAATACGGTGGCACAGCGCCTTGGAGTTCAGTGAGATTAGTAAAGTTGCAAACCATAACAGCCAAAAAAGACATTCCGAAGTAAATTTGTCAACACTCGTGAATTATTTAGCTGTTTCATGATCATTTCTAATTGGTATTATTTATCGTTTTTAAAATAATTGTTCAGACAGTTATCGGACGGTGCGACCGCTACTTCCATGTGTTTGAGCAACCGCCAAGATTCTTTCATGGGAACTAATTCTGGATTAGTTTTTCGTAGTAATCTGGGCGGACACAAAATATGGCCATCTTACTATACATGTGGCTATACGGGTAATATTATATACCAATGATAACACAAAACGATTTAGTGGCTAGTATTTTCTAGTCTGTCCGTTAATAAAAGCCCTCGTTGTCGTCCCTCTAGCAGCTAAATTATAAGTAGCATAGTAAAATATAGAGAATGTTGTGTTGACATGTTTTTCGTGTTTTGTTTAACTGATGGGCTCACTGATGGGCGTTAATGTTAATGATTTTGTAACATGATATTTACAGGCGAACATCACGAAATAAACTGGTTGGAGGTGTGCCCGTTTGATTCCAATTACTTTTTAGTGAGTATTTTTAAAACGTGATACTTAAGCATGCGGTTTGTAAGCCGTATTTTAAGGTGTTTAACACATTTTTTTTTTACCAACGTTAAATTTGTTGTTACAAGAAAAGTTTTAACGAGGGGCGTTAATAACGCGATAATGTCTTAATCCGTCAACGTTTTCGTAGACAGCAGACAACCTTCGAAAAAGAAATTACTACTTCCGACTTGATTACTTAATTGAGTGTTTACGTCGGAATTATGTAAAGCGAACACACGTCCAAATGATTTATCAAAATACCGGCTGTCTAATTTATGCCGAATTAACGTTAAACTGTACATTTTTTATTAGACCATACACGGTACAGTAAATGTTTTAACGCGTTAATTCGTTTTATCGTTTACAACACGATAGATAAGCGAACTTCCCCAGCGACAATTAGAATGCAATACTCAAACGATGGAAAACTAGCTACTCGTGTAACGATTACAATGATAATAATTATACCACAGCCGAACTCGAGCGGCTTCGCTAATCGCTTTAAAAAACAATATGTTTTTTTTTTACTGCACCTAATTCGAAGCGAGTATTCTAACAAATTTCAATTTCTGGACACATTCAAAACTACTCTAAATATGAAAAATTCTAAATGGATTTTCGCCTGTACAGGCTGCAAGCTCTAGCGGTGGGGTGATATTGTACAATGTAAGACGACAAGAGGCTTTGCGTAGATATTTGGCCTCGGCGTCTGTCTTAGTGTCTCCGTCAATAGTAAAGGCTCAATGGTGCACCGGACATCCTGGCATTGTTTTTGCATTGGACTCGCTATCCAGGTAACCTGTTTACACACATAGAAATCCCACGAGTGCAATGTCTTTTGTTTTTCTAGCGTGCACGTATGGGACCTTTGCGACGACACGACCTTTGCGCCTTTGACGTCAGCCGGTCTTCGAGAAAAAAACATCACGTCCATAGCTGTAGCCGCAGTACAGTCTGAACGTCAACCTTCTTACGTGGTGAATATGATGAGTATTTTATTTATTTAACTAACATAAAAAATTTTAATTTACCGATAATTATTTGCCCACAATACGTACAGTAATCAAGAGGGAGCTTAGCTGTACATAGGCGATGCACCCGAGTGCCACTGAATTTCGATAAACAATAATTTTTTTATTACATCAATCCGCTTTATATAGATAAATTAAATATGTAGATTGCTCTTTGACTTTTAAAAAATACCCAATAAAACCATCCTTTAAAATAATATTTTTAACTTGAACAATAAAAACTATTATAGATCATAACGATTCTATTATAACTCACAATATAAATTTCTGGAGATTAAGTTTTTATCATCCTGTATAGTTTAAAAAATGAAATACAACTAATAAAAGAGTTATACTAAAAACATAAGTAGTAGAAATAAGAGATTTCCTAGTATTATAATCAAAAAGTAGTGTATTGTTAAAATAACTGATAACAATAAGTTTAAAGCTGTGTACTATTAAATAATATAGTACTTAGTACTTCCTATAATATACTAGCACTACATAGTGTCCCATTATAAAACTTTACTGAAATAAAAACTAATAAAATATATTTTTTTGTATAAAACTTAAAATTATTATAATATGAGAAATTAATATTAAACTAAAAAATTAAATAATAATGAAGTTAAGAAAAAAAAAGTTGTTTGTTATATAACTTATAACTATATTTTTGTTGAAAAAAAATTATTTTTATTTTGAGTATTATTTCTTGGTGTATTTTTTTTCTCTGTATATTCATCAAGCTGTTATTTCCACGGGTATTTTTCTTCTGAAATCTGAATTAAAATTTTGTTTATTCGAATTTAGTAGTTAATAAGATATTGTTCATGTCGTTTTTGTTTATCGTTTAATAACAAACTCTGCAGTGCCGTGCTCTGAAGTACTCTATTTAATGTTAACATTATTAAACAGTAAATTTATTTTTAAAGTTTGTTTTTATCGCTTGGAGTGAAAATAATAAATTTAGGTACCAATTTTATTTTCAGATTTGTCATTAAAACGTATTGTAATTTGTATAAAACTATTTCAAATGAACATTACAAAATAAATATTTTCTATATTAATTAAATAAATAAACAAACAAATGTATCAAATGTTTCTAAAAAATAAAAGATTTATATTAGTTTTAATTTCAGGAACATTATTTTTTATTTTTGACTAACAATTAAACGTAGTATTTTTTTCAACTGGTTTAAAAATAATTTTCTTAATTTGTTTGTTGCCTTTCTCAATAAAATTGATAACTTACAGAGTTTGGCGTTCACAGACGGCAAAGTAGAAATGCATATGATCAAATTAGAGAAACGGAATTTAAAAACACAAGAGGATCATCGAAATACACTACTACGCAGTTTATCCAGATTATAGTTTATATTCTAAATGGAGGAATACAATTCGTGCCAAATACTGTTTGTATTTAATATTTTATTATTATATAATTATATTATAATGATACATTATATTTTGCTAGAGTTGTAAGTATAAAAAAAAATAATAATAGTAATACAACTTGTACGGTATTAAAAAATTCTAAATATGGAATACAAATATCGACTTACACTATATAATAATATTATACTTCTTATACATTTTTTTTATGTATATTTTATATTTATACCTACGTTTGATTTTAAATGTGCGTGGCTATTAAATAATGTCTTATATAAATCTAATAGTGTCGTAGGGTATACAATTGATAATTAATCAACATAGGATAGGAACCATTTAACATCTAATACCTATTACCGTCCACGTTTTTCGGGATTTTCGTTAGCTATAAATACTATATATTTTTCTATCAGTCTACTCATTACACTTGTGTCCTTCAACCACATAACACTAAAAATGCTGTAATTTCCAGTTTCCTGTTTCGTTCTTAATGTCGATACCGCACTTCAACGCGTATCTCGTAATTGTTCCTCGCCATTTGTCATCTTGAAATTGGGATCGACCAGTTTACCCCACTGGTGCATGTTGTTCAAAGCACCTTCTTTCATCACGTTCAGTTTCGGATTCATCAGTCCCAGTGCCTAGAAAATAATTTACACATATGATTTACAACAGCTGTCAAGTAAATTTAATGTTTAACTACTGCCAATTTTGTATCCAAACAAGCCAGTGGCTTTTAAAATACCCTTTCTTAACATATCAGCGTCATATCTTTCATCAGCGAGTCGCTATCAATCACCAATCTTATCACTATCTAATCTCTTATTCGCTTGTCTTCGTTTCAATCATCATTCACAACACTATCCTCTCTATTATCAGCTTTTCCAATCTTATCGATCAATGTACTAATCACGTTGTACCAACGTTTATTTATAATGTTTTTGGTGAGGTTATGTACGCAAAAACCATTTCAAAATTGTTAACTAAATTTGAAATGGTTAAATAAAAATTTGGCGTTTTCAAAGATAAAAAAAGTCAATTCCGTTTACTTGGTACAACGGTAAACAAATGTCAGCAATCCATCTGATCTGTAATTGAGGGAGTTCGTGTTGTCTCTCTCTATCCATTAGTGCTTGTGGTTGAATGTTCAGTTCGAACCGTTCCTTATCGCCTTGCTCGATGAACTCATCTGTTACTAGACGCGCAGCCCGCTGTTGCACGTGCCATTGTTTGGTCGACGAAGCTAAGTCCGACGAAGTCATTAACATGGCCATTAATAGAAACCGCTGTGTATCTTCGTCCCAGCTGTATTCTTTTGACTCGATCAACCGGAAGAACTTATTCCTCAACCTAAAAACGAGACGATTTTTTTTCTAATGAACAAGTATTTAATTTTTCACATAACTCTGGTGTGTATGATATTATGATGTAGTTGTATATTGAACTTCAACCTCATTATAGTTTTTTTAAGAGTTAGACTTTAATAATTTAACTGCATCTGACAAAATCATATTAGAACGTATTTAAGTTACAATTGAATTGACTATAGCGACCATTTTAATCAGAATTAGTAAAATTAAAATAATAATATAGTTTTTAAATATTTAATGATATTTCATTAAAAAAATGTATAATTTTCTAATTATTATTATTAATCACAATATTATTAGTATTGTCAAAAATCAAAACAATATTATACAATTTTCATTAAACCTCAACAAAACATTTAGAAAATATGTTTTACTTCTAAACTATTTGTGGGTTTCAGTGTTTCATATTCTTTGTTTCTCTTAAATTCATCATTGTTTTGGATCCTCTTTTCCCTGACAATCAACTTTTTTTTAACTTACTTTTAATATTGTACGTTTTGTAAAAATCTATTAATTTTAAGTAATTTTTCTTATGAAAACCACACCAAGGAAAAAAAGCAATTAGAAAATTATATTATGAGTCGCCATTAAAATACTATACGAAATGTATAACTTAACTAATTTGGTTGTCACAATTATTACATTTTTAAAAATGGTATTAAAGTACAAAATAATTAATTTTTCAAATTTAGATAATAAAATAATTGACGTTGTTATTATTTTATATGCTTCACTTATGTATTTTGTTCTCGAGTGGCCAATAACTTACTGGAAGTACATGACGAGATCTGTGGCTAAGATGCTATGTTTCAGCACCTTCATGACAGTGGTAAAACTTTCTGCTGAAAGACTGGAGAATATGTTGAGACTCTGCGAACACATCATTCATGTTTTTTTTATGTTTGTTTAAAGTTAGATAGAAATACTTTTAATGACTTACCTCACTACTTAATATCATCACTGCATGATTAAAATGATGGTGTTCCATTGTGTTGGTTGTTCCGTACAGCAGAACTAACGCTGACCGGGCTCTAAAGTGTTCAAATGTAATTTTTTAATATATGAAAATTATTTAATTTTGTTCGCCAACAGCTGAAACATACTTTTCTTGGAATGAATTGTTTGTTCCACGGTGATCGAGGTCGTGGCACAAACAACCAACAAACATACCCAACACTTCGAGATCAGTGAATGTGTTTTTCATGTCGCAGCCCTAAACACATAATAGCAATGTTAAAGTACCGATTACATAAGTGACAATAGCAATTTGATTTTGCTAGCTATCAGTGACTCACCATCAGAATGGCAAACATAACCTGAGCAACATTGAACGCATGTCTCCAATTGTGGTAGGGCACGTCTCTGTAGTTTCGTTTTACTGTGATAAGAAATTTATACAGCGTCTACAAAAGAACAAATTCATTTTTTTTAATCATCGGCCTCTTTGAAAAAATATTCAATTACAATGAAAAATTTTAAAACTGAATATAATACGCTCATCGTTAGATCAAATCATAAGTTAGAATAGTAGGTAATAGGATTGGGGTAGGGAAGGGGATTTACCGATAGTGATGAGAATGGTGGTTGATAGTGAGAAAATGGATCAATCAGTTGATAAGATGGTGATAATAATAATTTTTGATAAGGCAATACAGAAAGATGATAAGAGATAATATAATGATCAGAATGAAAACTGATAGTTAATAGAGACTAGCTGCAAAAGGTATTATTTGTTTCAAAAGGATTCTGAAAGTTTTTTTATAAGTAGTGAAATTAACATTATTAATTAATGAAAAAATGAATAATACATTAATGCTACTATTTATACTAAACACGAATAGTATTAAATAACTTTAAATCTTAGATAATAGCATATGAAACATAACTGTTAAATATAACAGAAGATGACAAAAAGTTGACATTTTAAACCGTTAGGTATTATACATTGTTTCAACAAATTAAATACAAAATATTTTCATTATTTCTGTTATTTATTTATATCTACCAACTAGAAATTTTAATGAAATGTTCAATTGACTTTTCTGCTATTCTATTTATGCTGTCGCTTAATAATGTTAAACAATTTGTATCCTTAGAACACTTAAAGTTTTGATTTTTTATAAAGTTTTCATATCAATTGAAATATCATTATCAACCAACATTTTAGCGTGGAAATAAAGTCGAACTCTTTTAAAACATAATCCCTTAAGCGATTTTATTTCTCGCGTTTTATTAAAAACCCAAAATTGTTATTTATAATTTAATTCAGACTTTTGACAACAGTTCATATTCTGCATTATTTACGTCCTATGGTGTTTTTAAAATATTTAAATAGTAAATGGAATGCTTCTTTTTTCAATATAACTTTACTCAAAGGCGCAACAATTTGAATAATTTAAATTCAAAATGAAAATAATTATATTATGTAGTACAATATTCACAATGATGTTGTGTAAATTCCAACGAAAATAATTATTGATTAGTTTTTGTACTCACTTCCCTTTCGATGTTGAAAGCTTTGACCAGACCTAGTTCCAGGAACATGCTTACAGCGGCCAATAGCATTTCGTCGTCGCTGAGGGAGAAGTCGTCAAACGCCAGTGAATACAAGTTCAACGAGTCGGCTGCGGGTACCGGCAAACTCTAAAGAAACGATTAAAAAAACATAATAAATATTCTTGATAACGTCACCACCACACATCACAATATATAGGTACACACGGAAGTATATACGTTTTGAACTTTTTACATAACATAAACGCGATGCGAACGACCCGCCGAACGCTCGGCTAGAGTTTTTTTAGCATTTTTATTTTGGCTCGGAATTATTTGTTGAATTCAAACGAAGGGTTACAGCTATTCGTATGTATGTGTGAATTTATATTCCGGTGCGTTTTACACGCCTTTTCTCCGAATTCGTTGAAAACCCTTTATTGAATTATGCTTATTTTTTTTATTTTTTTTTATTTACTTCCTCGTCCCTAACCGTATCCGCTTTTGTTGGCTGTCTTTACGCAGCAACACACGTCGGAACTAGACCGGAATAATAATAATCTGGGTTTCGATACGTACGGATTTCGGTTTAATATTTTGTGTGGCAGCTTCAAGACCACCGGGAAGAAAAGTACACCGCCGTAGAGTTCAACGGCACTGTGTACCGGGGTGACGCGAAAGCGAAAAAAACTTTTTCCATTATTCGCGTTTTTTTTCTATTTCCGGAGACCGATTTTCTACTTCCTCCCGGCAAAACCACCGTCCTCCCCGCCCGCAAAATAACCCCAAATGAAATAATATAATATTAATAGAACCTACCAGAATCCGATCCACTTCTTTGTTGGAGGCGGTCGCGTGATAAGACAGGACCTGGAAAGCACGTTAGTTTTTTTTTTTTTACATTTCCCTTAATACATTTTTCGACAGTACATTTGTCATCCGTATAATGCGTGTAATATATACAAGGATAACAACCTATACGTTGTATAATTATTTTTTAACAGAATATATTATATTGTGTTGCGTCAACGACCACGGTCCCTTACTTCTATGGAGACTTTTTGTCTGGCCATCGCTTTCTCCACTTCGCTGTACATAAGCGTGTTGTGTATTCCTAGACCGCAGAATATCGTGAACGCCTAAAAAAATAATATACCGAATTGTATTGTTAAACAAAGAGATAGAATGATATAATAATAATATGCGAACGTCATAGTATTCCAAAAAAAAAAAAAGCAATCCGTTAAGTTGACTAACCTCGAACAACTGTTCGTCGTACTCGTCGAACGGCAATGAGTTCAGCTTATTTATGATGCTCGCTACACCTGAAATTTGAAAGTGCACTTAAAATCACATTTTGATGATTTTAATAGACAATACAAGCGTACACAGGTAAACCGCAATGGATCAGTCAAAATATGCACCGGCGTTAGTGCGCGACAACCTACCGGCTATTGCAGCGGTCTACATTACCTAAAAAATAACCTCTATAAAGCTGTTGGCTTTGTACCATTTTGTGAGTACCGGGTAAACGTGTATGGTGAGCTTAAAACGAAAAATGTCGAAGAAATCGTTTATGTTTCAAAACGAAAAAAATCAAAATAAAAGCGAATGGCATTTGTATTCAAATGTAAAATGAATTCGTTAGGAGCCAGTGGGTTGACGGAGAAAGTGTACAAATTGTTACAAAATAATGTAAAATTAAAATTAATCGTTTACCTAAAGCCTAATTTTAAAATATCGCGATGGATATAACAATTCGTATATCCACTATTGGCTTTCTTGTCGTCTTCTTATTATCAAAAAAAAAAAAGTATCATTAAAAGTTGGACACAATAAGAGTGAGAGTTTGCTTATATATCTATATTAATATATATGTCAATAAACAAACGATCCCTCGATTAAGAGGAATTTGATTTTGATAGAGTTAAGAGTGAATTGACTGGCCGAATCGTCGTTACAGCTTAATGCAATCGACGAATTCCAAGACCGAAATAATGCATTTAACTTGTTTGACGTAAGTATTTTTACGACAATCGATTGAAGTAAAATGTTGCTTGCTTACCGATAATTTGGTCGTTTTTATTTCTTATTGGCATCGCTAAAAGCGAATTTATTCCTGAGTCCACAAGTCCGTCCTTACATTCGTTTTCGTTGACATTTAGAACTTCGCCCGTACACGCCACCCTCTCGGCTAAACTCTCCAAGTACCGCGATACGTTTTCGCCTTCTACTTTTTGTCTACAGCTGTATTTAATAAAAATTAAAAAAATAAATAAAAAATTATTTAAGACAGTTGGGTTTGAGTTTCGTTGGTAAACTCATTACACTGACTTTTTCACGTGGTTCTGTCTGTGTTTCGGCGAGTTCAAGTCGAATAATTTTGAAAACCGAGTATTGTCACACGATTCGTCCACCAACAAAACCGCAGCCCGCTCGCACTTCAGCAACCTCTGAGCTCTTTGCATTATCTTCATGATGACTTTATCTATGGATGTTTGTTCTTCGAACAAATCGTGCACCACCTCCAGCAAATTCTAAAACAGTTATATAATATGTGACACAGTTGTCCGATGAATGAACAAAGGAAGCGGACAAATAGCTTACTCTGTTCCGGTCGTATTCTGCTCTGGAATCTTCAATTATTTGTGCGTTAGTGATGGCTATGCCGACAAACTGTAAATATGTCTCAAAAATCTAGAAAAATTAAAAAACAAATAATTCTAAGAAGTATACTCATTATAAACGCATTACGTATTGCGTTTTTTAATCTGATTTAGATAAGTTTTATGTATCAAGGTTGTATCCCTATACGATATAAATTATACTAACAATTGATAAAACAAATTGTATACAGAGGTATGAAATAATATTTGAACAACAAAATATAACAAATACATATCTCGTACGCTAACTAACACCTGAAGAGTGTAGATCAAAAATTAAATAATTATATTTTTCAAAGTAACAATAGTTATAATATTGGATGTAGTGTTATATTTTATATTGTAATAGGTATATACTTGAAAAAATGTAATTTGTTTTAAAAAAATGCAAAAAAATATCGTGAAAACGTTTATTGGACATTAAAGGTAAAATTAAAAATCAAATATTTTTACATTTTAATCTAAATTGTTTTAATACAATCACAACTTCAGTAATTTAACGCCGTCTATACAGTTACATTGAACAAAATAATTGATGCTTTAGTATTCGAGACGAAACAAGACAGTCTAAAGTATAACGACGAAATAAGACTGCAAAAATGGTAACAATAAAAAAGGATAGAGTGTTTGATGGTTACTTTCATAAGTAAATATAATATGTTTTAACGATGGACACGGTTTGTTTAACGTCCTATCGAAATCCGTAAGCTGTCCCAATCGCAATGCAAACAATGCAAAAATAAACATATCTTACCTTCTCGTCCATGGTGGTGTAGTGGCCGTCATCTTTGTCTGGATTTTTGTTGTTAACCTGCGCCACCGCTATTATCTCTTCGTACGAATTTTTTATTGGCATACACAGCAAAGACGACGTATAGTATCCCATTATGCGGTCCACCTCGTCGTCAAATCTCGGGTCCTGCAATATTGTGTGTACACAACGTCTCAATAAACAGTCAATGAAATACCCACAACCCACATCGGGGTCTGTTCGCAAAATAAACAATCCCTGCTATGTTATACTTGTCAATAATCCGACACATGTTCAAAAAGTAATATTTCATTTTTCTTCGAAATATAACATCCACCAAAAGCTTAAGATCGCGTCACAGCACTTTATTATTACTTTACGGCGTAAAGTATAGGCGATTCTGCAATAGAACCCATTAGAAATACTTAAAGGCGTATTCATTCATACGAGTATCCAACGAATGTCATATATTTAGTCTTAGAGCAATACTAATAAGCAATTTTTGTACATTTGTCTCAGAAAATATTTCTTACCAGTTTTACCATAAAAACGTAATCGCGGAAAGGACTTTTAGTTGTAAAATTGTAGAAAATAAGTTTTTTTTTATTGAAAATCAGAAGAAAATGTGTACTTATAATATTTTGTCTTAGCTAATGTGACTGCATTGAACCATTTATTTCAATGTTAATTTTAGCATAAGTTGATGATTTTCCGTGTGTAATTTTAATTTAGTTGACTTAAATAGAATAAGCATGACTAAATGGTGTGTGCTTAACATTTTAAGTGGACTTAACTCTTATGATGCTATCGATTTCCATAATATAAATAAATATAAATGATTGCATGAAAAGGTCAAAGGTTTTAGTTAAATTTGTAGGTAAATTTAACTAAAACCTCTAATGTTTCTGTTTTATATAAATTTAAATTGTGTTAGACAATATAGAATGCCTTTTTGTGAAATAAAAAAACGCTTCGATAATTACAAAGTATTAAAATCTTATTTGGATGTTTTTAATCGGTGTATTTTTACTCTCCTTTAAAGATTTATATTAGCACCTAAGTATTTAAAATTCTCGACTTGTTCAAAAGAGAAACGATCAATGCTCAAATTTTGTAAAGGAGTTGGGCGCCTACTCATTAGCATATACTTAGTGTTATTTTCGTTTATTTTAAGGCCCATCTTTTTACTTGACACTATGAGCTTTCTTACGGTCCCTTCTAATTCCATTTTCGATTCTCCAAATATTACAATGTCATCCGCACATGCTAAGAGCGTTGTGCGCCCCAGGACGCCCATTTCTCGGTTTTCCTGCATGTCTCTTATTACTTTTTCAAGAGCTAAGTTGAACAGAGCGGGAGATAACGCTTCGCCTTGTTGCAACACTTTATTAAATTAACTAATTATTCAAAGATTTACGTTCATATAATACGGTATCTTTTTTTTTTGTAAAAAAAAACCTAAAACAAGAAAAAGAGATGAGAAATGGAATTTTAAGTATCTAATATTATTTTTGATCGTATATATATATATATACAATGATGACCTACACAGATTAATTTAATTAAATATATATATATAATGTATTTATATATAAAACTTCTTATTTAAGAATTTCTTATGATTTCAAACTTCTAGTTTGATTTGAAAACACAAATACATTTAGTATTGTGGTATACAATTTGTGAAAACTTTTTGCGAGATATATCATTAAAATGACCTTCACAGTTTAATCTAATTCACGCTGAAGTTAAATCAGTAGAAAATGTATGAAAATCTGTTTATACCGTCAAATCCAGTTGTTACTCGAAACTCGCTAACTAAATAAAAACTTTTTATTCGTAGAAATCTCTAAAAGACCATAATTATAAAATATATGTACAACCAAGTCTCTATAACAATCAGATTGATGATTTATAATAGCTTCATCAAATTATATATTATTAGCTATTACATTTAATTTACAAGTTAAAGCAAATTAATTTATATAATAATAGATAATGTCAACTTTATGAATTGGATTGTTTTTTTGTTGGAAAAATATATCCCATTAAAATAATCTTCACTTAAATGATTTCATCGAGACTTTAGTTTGATAAATAAGTTATTAAGTTATTCATATAACTATTTATTGATCATTTATTTGATATTTATTCATTTTAGTATATTATTTCCCAACATCGGAAATTTTTCCTCTATTCTTGACTACCGCACTGGGCTCTTCATTATTGTCAGACAAACAGAAAGCGATTTTACATATTATTTTATGTCGTTCTCTACGGCTAGCGGCCACATTCGCATCTCTACCCCATTAATCAAGGTACGACAATAATATCCCGGCCCGATATGCATCCGGAGTTTTATTAGTCAGTATAGTGTCTCCTACTACTAAGTTCTGGTTGTAAAACGACCACGTGACCTAGTTGTATTGCCAAAGGCACAACAACAACATAATGTACACCAATAAAAAATATCGACTATCCTCGGGTAAACAGTAAAAAATTTCAAGAAATAAAACACAAAAATGCACAGCGAACATATTTCATTGGACGTGAATTAAGTGCGCCACGATAATTTATTTTTATTATACACAAAAGAATAGACACTTCTCATGTAAGCAAGTTTGAAAATTGACAAACGGCAATATTTATAATACGAAATTAGCGAAACTCAAGATGAGGACGGTAAAAAAAAAATTTTAATAGTTGTAAAATTGTGTGATGAATTTTGTACTTTAATATTAATAAGATATATATAGAACCATAAGTTTAATAATACGGGCACGCCTTTGAAATGTATACGTTGTAAGAAGGGTGTACAGCCTACAAATTAATTTCTCCGAAAGGCCTGAAAACACTTTTATTTTTACCTATATCGTTTTTGGGGAAAATTCAAGGTTAGATTTTATTTCTCTACCGGTGCGTTTCACAAACTCGGCAACGACACTATAAACTGTATGAAACCTAGCCCACTCGGTAAAACCGCACCGTGAACGCGAACCGTAAAACTACAGATTTTTTTCTCATTCAGTTACAGTCTGACACACAGTGTCAGAAGGCACTGGTGATTTCAATTCGCTGAAAACGTTAGACATTTTTGTTGAAGTCAAGACGTGTCAAGTGACTAAATCTAACACGGCTGTATATTATCTCGCCTCGTTAACGGATTATTATTGAACAACATACCTCGCAGGCCACGTCTAGGTTGACCGTTTCGCCGGTGGACGCGACGTGCCCAAGTATACCGACGCCCCAAGGTATCTGCACTTCGTTGTCTTTGGCTGTGGTTCGCACGCTATCACCGGACATGTCATCTGGCAAAAGGAACTGCCCGCGAGCACCGCTATGCACGTCAAACACCTTTGACACCAAGCACCGGCGTCGGCTCCCGCGAGTGGGTCCGTCCACGAGAAACAATGAAGCCGCGTCGCTGTCCATCAGCACGGTCAAGTTGTCGACAATCTTGTGCGACAGTGACTTGAGATCCAAATCGGTGGCAATGTCCCGGACCACCGTCAAAAAGAAGTCCCTTTCGCCCTGCACTCTCTGCAAATCCCTCTTGGAGTCTAAACTGTTAGCCGACACCGGCCACCGCGGCAACCGGACTTTGGAGTCAATCAACAAGGACAGCATATTAATCGGACTCGGCGGCAACGATGTAAACCTGTAGACAAACCATATAGTATGCAATATTGTCAGTTTCAACTGTCGACAAATTAAATCGCTATTGAACACGCTCAAAAATGGATTTTTAACGCGTGAAATAACTTATCAGCTAAAGTATAATAATTGTATTATAGTAATCGATTATTCATCTTAAATTCAGATGCTTCGTTTCAACGAGGAAAAATTATTTTGTTTTGTTAATTGAAACTTCGTCGTTTATTGCGAACGACCTACGTAGCACAAGTAAATTAGTTAGTCCTTAATAAATTTTGGTCCGAGAGGAACCCACGGTTCCATTTCCGCCTACTATAAAACGCCTGGTGGTCCACCCCTCTAGCTTAATTAGTGAGAGAGCCTTAAAAATAAAACCGTGAAAAATATAAATGAAAATCCAATTGTCTGTAGACATTTAATCAAAAAGTTTATGATAAAAATCATGTAAGAAAATAAAATTCAATTAAGCTTTCATGCTGATATTAAAGGATCCTGTTGTAAGGCTCTAAAATCCTTGGTTTTCTTAAACGGGTTTTGTAGTGAATTCAAACTGACGGGTTCGTTAAAAGCTTTCTACTATGCGCTTATTAGGTAAGTCTTGGAGTTTGTTATATCCTTTCCTATCATATCATCCTATCCTTTCCTATTATCCTCACCTACCCTTTCGTCCTAAATTTTAAACTCTAATATCTTTAAAAGTAAGCACTCAAAACTGGTTAACGAATAGTCAACATTTTGAGTAAAATATTATTAATTTAAAAAAAAATGTATACAATAACATTTAAATTTCAAAAGTTACTAGCTAAATCTAGCATCTGACTGAAAAAAATACAAAAACTTCAAGTTCTTATTCTTTAATAAAAATTTAAAATGTTTCAGAAGTCATTTTTTCCACATTTTGGTATATCATCAAAAAATCAAATGTAGTATAATGTATGTAGAGTGGTTTCTTAGTTTAACCTTAAACTTAACCGCTTAGAAACCAAGTTTTGGATAAGACGGTTTATAGAATATTTATATTTCATGAAACAAAAGATTATTCTCGTTTGAATAGAACCTAAGTAGTATTCGAACTAGCGTTTAAAACTATCATACTAATTTCAAACTACACAATGTTAAAAAAAAGTTATAGAAAATCGTATCGAATATTACATTTAAATGATACGCTTATTACTGTTTATTCAGGTTTTTAATTATAATATTTGGCAGTTTGATAATATATAGAATTATCGTATCAGACATTCATTAGTCATTACCCTAAGTAAATAATGGGTTTGTCTCTTTGTTTAAGCGAAATATGGTCGTTTTTTGAGTAGCACAAAGGAAAGATATTAGTAGCTCAGTATTGTGTTTTTCACGTTGATTACGTTTTTTGCAGTGTTCGATAAAGTGAAATTGTTCATCTAAAAGATTTATAATGGAAATAAATGCATGGAAAAAGTTTTTAGTTATATTTGGCTTGACATGCTTACACATGCTTACAGAGGTACGCGCAGGACCGTCAAGAACTCAAATCGACCTGCTTAGTTTTATTAAACAAGAAAAACATTGGAAAAATATGGGGTTCACAGATTACTATGATTACTTTGATAATACACGGAAGCCTATTCAAAAAATATGGATTCCAAATACTTCATTCACAGTGAAGGAAAGGTTACTATCGATCTCTTCAATGATGGGATGCGCTTATGGCCCAAATTTGAATTGGTTTCTCTTATTGACGTTTGAAGTAATTGACGAATGCAATAAATTGCGACAAAACAACAACGACATACGCGCTGACGATTGCGCGGCCAAACTTGAAGAAACTTTAGAAAAAGGTAAAAATGTTATATTGAAATTGATCCTTACATTGTGTTACATCGATCCTCTAAGCCATTTCACTATGGATACTAATAAATTTTACCAAATTCTGGCGCCACTATATAATTTTGTGACGGGAAAAATCGCCGTAGAATATTCTGGAATAGTACTAGGAGGCTTAGTTATTAACCAATTGTTCAATGGTGTTGCTGAATCCTTAAAAGAATTTTTGCTCTCTTCGTGTACTCCAAAATACCACATATTCAATATAACGGAAATACAGAGTGAATATAATAGTGGTATTTACGACGATGGCATCTACGCTTTCTATATCGTCGAATTAAATAGTTACATCACCTACATGGACAGTCACTTGATCCAACTTGGTTTTCATTACGACGTGAAAACGGGCCTGCTGATCTTTAATCCTATCAAAAGTACCTAACAAACAGTTAAGTCAACGCTACAGAAACATAGCTAATGTTTAAATTATGCATATTATGTTGTATTGTTTAGTCATTCAATTTTTTTTTTTTTTATAAAAACAGCTGTCAACTTATAATTTTAATAAAATTCATTCCTTTATGACAAGTTTTGTTCATGTTTACTTGAGTATCCGCAAGTTGTGTAAACAGTGTAAATACAATACCCCACACAAGTTTTAATAATTTTGTACGCCGTGTTAAATACAAGAATTATAAAAAATATTGTTTGAATTTAATGATTTCAATGATTTAATAAATGTATTAAAAAGCAAAAGTGCGTTATTTGCCGTGTTCACTTTGTATCACAAATATTCTGTACCATCAATACTCAAAAGTTATTTGTTATGAACTTTTTAAAGGGACTAGTTAATTTAATTGACATACATAAAATTAACAAAGCTACTTTTTCGGTTTTCCCCGTCAAGTCCATATTTGTATTTTTTTCTGAGGGAAATCTTTTTTTCGCCCATTTTATTTTAGTAATAGTTATGACACATCGATAGTTGGTCTAATGAGGTGTTTTTTTAACAACATATGTGTTGTGTAAAATAAACACCATTTTGCACATCTCACATTTTGCACGGTATTATACAAGTGCTCCGAGAATTCGTTTTCGAAAACCTTCGAGTTTAGACAAACAGACATTAATAAATAACCAAAAATCGTTTAATTTATTCGGTAATTTGGTTTAATAACAATTTTTTTTTTTTATAGAAATAACAGTCCGCTTATAATAACATGCATTCCTTTATACCATGTTAATGTATTATAAAAAATAATATTTAGATTTGATGTTTAATAATTGTAATAGATATTAAAATTGCGTTATTTACTGTGTTCGCTTCGTCATTCGGTTTTGTTTTACATAAGCTAGTGCTTAAAACTAGGTATCATATTATAAAACTAATAAATTTAGTGCTTACACAATTCACTCAATATTATAAAAAAATTTGAAAAAAAAAAAAAATTAAAAAACCTAGTACAGCATAATTAGTTTATTCTATAACTGAACTTTTTAACTCTTAGGTTTTATCACTTTTAAAATAACGACTATCTCATTTAGTTGTTTGTAGACTAGGTACTAATTAGTGACAAAAATAGTACGGTGCAGGACTTAGCTCTATTAACAAAATTGAAGACTCCCTCCAAAAGTCAATCTAAAAAAAACAAGCATAGTTCAAACCAAGTATAGTATAAGTTGGTACAGTATGAAGTAATAATTTTTGGTTTTTAAATAGGAATGTGTTTTAATCACAATCAAACACTTTGGTTTAAATCTGCAAATAGTAAGAACCCAGCACAGTTCGGACCAAACACAGTACTAACCTGCACAGTAAGAAATTACCCAAGTGGGGTTCAGTGTCCACAGACTGTTCAAACTTTAATGGTTAAGACTATACTTGTTTTGGAATATGCTGGGTTAGTCTGTGTTGGTTTATTAGTTTATACTGTGCCGATTCTTACTATGTGCAGATTCGCATAGAAGCGTTTGTATTTTTTCAGCACTGTTTTTTTTCTTTTCTTAGTTTAAGGTATACAAAATAAAAAGAGAAAATAACAAAATTTAATGCTTTGCATGAAAACGCTTATTTTATTTATCGAAACCCCCAATGAAAATAGTATAGCCAACACGATGATGATTAAATTTAATTAGGGTTTTTAATAACAAACAATTTTTTAATGCACAAAACGAATGATGAGGTAGTTTGTATTGAGTCAGAAATTGAATTACGATAAATTAAAAACGTTAACTTAATATTTAATGTAAATGCCCTGATGACCTTAAATCGTAAATAACAAAATATAAATTACAAAAAGTAAACTCTAGACGACTATAACTAATGTTCCCTGCAATATTATTCTTGGCAATACCAAGATATGATGTGTACAAAAAAAAAAAGACATTATTTTAATAAAAATAATGTTGTCTGCAATCTCCCAAAAGTTCCAAGGGACAAATAGCAATTGTTATTATTTCTAACGTTTTGAATTCAATCTCGAGAAATTATTATAGTACAATATGAAGAAGTATAAACATTATGTAAATTACAGTTTATTTAATGTCAAATTAAACATTTTAACAACTTTTGTTTTTTTTTATAAAAAGTTAATGCAAATGTCAGAAAGCATTGTTTCTAAGGTGGTATGTATTTTGTGTATCCACTACATTTTATTCAATTTTATACATGTCATTCCAATAAGACAATATAAAAAATTACTACGTGCATATTATTTGCCTAAACTATGACTGCTCTGGATAGTTGTGGACATTTGAAAAACCAAAACCGGGCATTTATCCAAAAGATTAGTATATGCGATGTTGTTTTTACCGAATATAATTCTTTAGACTTGATGGTTCCAGAAACTGAAACGCGCAATAGAACAAATTGATAATTGGCAAATATCCAAATGACTACACTTGGATGCTTTTTGTAGTTCAGCCCTTTCAAAATCCGGCAGCGCATACGTGCTTATCAAATCGTAACTAAATAAAATAGATCAAATGAGACTAACATAATAGTTGAAATTATTATTAAAAATAACCGATAGTATTTAATAATATTATATGCCTAATATGTGATTTCCGGTTTTAGTTTTTAATTTAATATTAAATGTAATTCCAGTAATCGATCATCTAGAAAATAATCTGTGGTTGTATGGTAAAAATTTTTCAGCATAATGTTCAATTCAAAATTCAAAAATATCATTAAATCTT